CCTCTTTTTCAGTCTAGTAGAAATCGAGCTACAAAGCCCGGACGAAATGGACACGAGCTTACAAGACATCGTCCACGCGATGATGAAGCAATCGACGCAAATTAACAGCAGTTATCCAAACCCTGAAGTGATACCGCATTCGATCTTCGGCGTACGGGACGTGGGCTTGTCGAACGTTAAACCAAACCCAGCTGTGGAAGACAGGCAGGTTCTATCGAGCCCGAAGTATCAGAACCACGACGAGAAACTGTATTATTTAAAGAGCAGACCGAAGGTTTACGTGAACGTGAGAGGACGCAGTGGCTCGTTTCGTAAAGAACCGAAGACCACTTCGTATCCTTTAGAATATTTACGAGTGACACCGTCCGTTCGAAGACAGACCGACTGGAGGTCGAAGAAAATCGTGAAGAAGTTCAAGCATCAAACTGATGAATATAAGAAACTAGGGAGGGACGGGAACGATAAGAAAGTGAACAGATTAGCAGTGGTTTATGACATCGACGATGGATCAACAACGGAGAATTCTATGGTCACTTCTAGCGAGTTGCCGAAGCAGATACCTGCACCGCCTTCGAGAGTTCAGAGCAGAGTTATGACGCAGACGACTCCCGTTCAGAGATACGCTTTGATGAGAACTAACACGTTGCCCGGTTACGCTTTCCTCGATGTTTGATGCATATTTTTTTTTATATGTATTGAAAACACCCAAGAGATACTACATACTACCATAAGAGTGACAGTGCCCGTGTAACTATTGGGACAGTGAATGGGACCCAATGGGACTCGAAACATAAAAGCTAGGAAAAATATTTTTATACTGAAATTATAGGCACTGACGTCCTCTACAAGGAAGATTCTGTGCTTCAAATAAAAGTTTTAGGTACAGCTATTACCTATAAAAAAGACCGTATACAATTTTCTTCTATCTCTAATATGTCAAGAGTAATCGATTAATTATTTCGTTTATCGTCAATTATTCTTTAACGAATAGATTATACGGCCGGTTCAGCATCGACGAGTATTCTGCTTTCTATTTTTTACGTCGGTGGCAATATATATTTGAGGACATAAAAAATTGCAGAACTTTTCATGGGACACAAAGTCACGTAAGGCTGCCACTCTTTAGTATCTCGGTGTAGAAAGGAACAGCAGCGCGCAAAAGTATGTAATACTACAGCCCTTAGATTTGATCAGTGATTATGGATTGTGCAATTTTGCAGTTATTACTGCTCGGAATATTTATTAGTCAAGAAAGATACTTATGTAAAAAAGAGGATTCAACAATAATTTATTTTGTATATCATGTAACTCGGTCGAAATTAGTTTGAAACTAGTTTCGATCATATTTGAAAATAATTTATTCGACTCCTACGATATCTAAAATAACTTATTGACATCCTAATTTTAAAGAGCGCCTCCTCACAGGGAACTTTGATATTTTTTTAAGCCTTGTATTGTACATAAATGTATATGCGGTTCGACATAAATTAGGTATTTAATTAAATAGATTTAAGTAAAGCACTACGTTCAATAAATGATTACTTAAAAGCAACCATCCATGCAATCATTCTAATAAAAGATCGAAGTAACAATCGGACTCACCTGTTCAGCCTTTAGTGTTAGCTCGATGAAGATCTGCTGCAGCTTCTCGTTCACGAAATTTATGCAGAACTGCTCGAAACCGTTCGTGTCGAAGATCTCGAACCCATATATGTCCAGAATGCCGATCTCCAGACCGCTGGCCGTGGTTTCCATGGCTGCGTTAATTTTCTGTAAAATAAAATAAATACTTTGTTCATCATTGAGCTTAGCAAAAAATCTTTTGAACAAGAGTTTCAGGTACTGCTATGCAAATAAGCCTCTATACAATTTCTTTTCTATCTCCAATACTTTAGGAGTAATCGGGAAAAAGAACCGATAATTTTTTACTGTCTTACTTTTTATTAACACAGTTTTAGGAAGATTTGAACCAGAAAACATACACACGAACTTTGCTGTGAAGATATACTTACTTTAACAAGATAATCAAACAGCCTAGCGTAGATATCCTTCGCTAGCGCGTCTCGAGTGTACAGAGCTTGTTCCACGTTCAATGTAACATCCACGCACTCAGATTGGCTTCCCCATTTCGACTCGAATTCGCGAGATATCAATTTGTGAGCCAACTGAGTCGCTGATATTTCAAGCAAATGAGCCGGGAATTCGAGAACTGAAACAACAAATAAAATCAAAATTTAAATAAGAATTATCGTGATTAAATCGAAAGCAGAGAACTTTTGTAAACAGTTTCATGCCTTAACAAACATGTTATGAATTTTATTTGTCGTCTAAAAATAATTAATAATGCTCACATCTATCATCGGCGATTTGTGAGTAATTGCCATTTTCACTGAATTCAATATTTCCTATGTGCAGCACTCCGGCGACCAGTTGAAAGATATCGTGCACCTCCGAGTCGTTTATTCCCATCACACCCAGACCTGTAACAATAAACAAATATTTATCAAATAAAAATATAACAGAGTCTTCATTCTTGAATGATTTAATTAATACTTCAATTCACCTTTCAATGTTGCTTGGAAATCGTGGACGTCGTTTATGTCTTCAACCTTGTAGTTTTCACCGTAATTGAGATAGTTATAGTGGTTGACACTTGACAATCCAAAGTCAGCTGAAAAGATATTTTCACGTACAAATTATAAACCATGCTACAAATGACGAATGCGAGTAGAAATGCAAATGAATTATCAGAGAATCGTTTTACTCACATTTCAATTGCTGATTAGCACCAATCGCCAGTTGATAGAACACGTGGAAGTTTCGTTCGCCAACGTTATGACAAGTGACACGGGATTTTTCCAATAAGAAATTCGAGATTTTCCCACCGGTCGGCTGACCACCATCGTCAAATTGCATTTCCACATACTTACCCTGAAATAAATACATGTTTCAAGAAAAAAAGATCAAACAAGCTTCTTTATTAAAATTTCTATCTTGAATCATTATTTAATTATCGTACATAAAAGGATCTTAAAACATACATACAAATCTGCTACTGTTGTTGTTCCTTATGGTCTTCGCGTTGCCGAAGGCTTCTAGCAAGGGATTAGATTCGAGAATAACGTTCTTCACTTTTTGTACTTGAGTTCCGCCGCCACTGACTTTCGCGATGTAAGACATGATGCATTTCGCTGCCACAGTTTTACCAGCACCAGATTCTCCGCTGTGATTCAATAGAGTTTCAAAAGTAGCAAAAATAATAATGAATAATAATATTAAATATTTACCTAATGATAACACACTGACTTTCCTTGTCGATTAACATATTTCTGTACATACTGTCTGCCAATCCGTATATGTGCGGAGGATTTTCATACGGTACCTAAACCATATTTTCATTGATAATTAATACTCTTTAAATTACGAATAAAATAGGACGTTATTATGAGACTTACTGCTCCTTGATAAATCTCAACTTCCTTGTCCCCGAAATACGGCATTTGTTTAAAAGGATTTACTGACACTAACACAGGACCGATACACGTCTACATGAAATGTTATTAAGGGAACTATTTTTTATAAACGCATGCAAAATTCTTATTGATCTTAGAATGATAGTTTTGTAGAAGATGTAAGAAATAATTATAACAAGAATGTTTAAGGATACGAATATGTAATCGTCCATGTATCTCTTTCGGAGATTCTCCGTGATAGCATCCTCCGTAATTTTTGGAAGTAGCACCATATCGTCCACACCGGACACCTTGACATTTTGACTCTGCCAATGATACATCTGCAAAAAGACAAACAACGTATCGTAAACATCCACAATTTCTACTCACTGTATTTTTCTGTAATTTTAAGAGAACACATAAAATGATAGAAAAAGAAGCCAGAAACCAGAAATGGTGTTTATTGAATTTAGGTTTGAAGTAATTCCAAAAATAAAACGTCAACGTTTTAAGCCCGATAGGTAGAGTCTTTTATCCCTTGAAGGATTTATGATAGGGACTGGATCTGCACGTGGCCGGACTGTTTAAGTGTTTCGACAATCTGGACGGCAGACTGGTGACTCGAAGTCACGCATCGGTCGTTCAAGGATTCATTGTTTGGAAAAGCGAGAAAGTTTCCAGGTGGCAAGCAACCCGGCGTTTAGCTTAATGAATAGAACCTCAGTTCAAGAGTCAGAACGTAAAAGTTGAAGATTCTCTGCCTATAATAAACTCCAGAACATTGACAATGAAATATTTTTTAACGTACATTTTCATTCACACAATATGTGTGTTCCTATTTTTTTGCAATCTAACCGTAGAATTTTATTAGAAAATTTAAACTCCTAACGTGAGAGCATAGAACCTGATTTCCATACGAAGCTGCGAATTGATAGCAAAATATCGATTGTAAAGGGAAAAAATAAATTTCCGGTACCGGGAATCGAACCCGAGCCTCCTGGGTGAAAGCCAGGTATCCTAGCCACTAGACCATACCGGAGAAGTTGAGAACCTTACTTCTCAAATTCGTTGATGCTAAGTAAAGTGTTGAATCACAGGTTTTAATAAAAACAAATTAAAACTTGCTGAAAAATAGGAAAAATACGATTAATTGAGGAAAAATATGAGAGATTTAATTAGGAACGAGCTAAGATCTTCGATGTACGACAATTTTATATACTAATATTTGTATTAGAAGTGATTCGGTTCATAAGTAACATTGACAATGAATTACAAATCTAAATATTAATTAATATTCTACTATTCTTCCCAAACCAGGGACCGGAGGTTCTCAACTTCTCCGGTATGGTCTAGTGGCTAGGATACCTGGCTTTCACCCAGGAGGCTCGGGTTCGATTCCCGGTACCGGAAATTTATTTTTTCATTTTGCTCCTTTAAAATTGTTACAAATTTCTATGTTAATATTTCAAATCGCACATACGTACTACTTCGAAATGTCAAACACTCTTTTGCAATTAACATGCTGAAAACAATGTGATATGTAATCTTCTAACTACAGTTAATTATTGCAGATAAATGGTACAAAAATAAAATAACCATTACTCGAATTTCTTCTACCCACTATTCAAACACTTAGACTTAAATGTTCTTAAACAACGGATACATCCAAGTAACAGCCAAGGCTACCCGTTTATGATCAATTATAAAAGAGCGAAGCAATATCATTCAGTTTAATGCACAGTACAATCAAAGATATCTGTCGAAACGAATTAGGAATTTTAATTTACTTCTTGAAGCTCTACGGTTGAAAAATACAATCTAACTTTACTATTTGAAAAATAGTTGTTCAGTTTTTAAACATTAAGTACTGATTTAGATTTTCTATTCAGTGGAATGTATGGAATCTGTCACAACTAAACAAACGATGTAATTAGTATAAACTGCAGACATATGATGACAATACCAATGACGAAAGTGAAACTTCGTGTCAGTCCATGGTCGTTCGAAATTGAACGACACTGAGACTATAAATACGATTCGCTATTAATTATCATTAATTTGCCAAGCTAAACATGGTCTTATTGTCAGTAAGGGTCAGGCACGAGTATATTGATCTAACTCTCTCGCTTAGATCAGGTCGCATATACATAATTCGATTAGATCGAACTCGATTAGGCTGTTTTATTGACGCAATGAGACGTTATTCTCTAATTAATTCCCAATTACTTTCATATGCCAGATTTCATTCTAACTATTTATCTATTTTCATGTATGTCGTATAATATTAATAATTCTTCATGGACCGAATGATTGATTGACTTTCAATCTTCAACTTTCATTTTACGTACAAATAATTTATATCTATATCAATCAGAAGGCTTCCTATTTTTTCATTAATTTGGAATATATTTTTAGGTTAGATTTTACTATAATGTTATAAGATTTAATTCTTTAGACGATCTAACAACAATTTAACATGTTATGATTATTACTCAAACTCTGTAGAATACATACATGTCTATAGAACGTGTATAATCTATCGTGTTTGTTGTATGCGAAGTATTACTCAACCGTTGATAAGATAAGAGATTGTAGTCACTTATTTTATCAAAGCAATCTCATCGCATTGGGACTATCATCGAACAAAGAATTTTCATTAAAAATTGCACTGTACAAAAGCTTAGATCTCTATAAAATCACGTAATATAATATCAAATAGTCTATTTATTATAATTTGTGCATTTCAAATCACTGGAAAATGTAACGCGGTTAATAAAAATAAATAATCAGAGTTCGTGTTAAATGAGAAAGCTAAACAGCTGAAAGATAGCTGGACGATCCGTAACACTTACTATGTATGTCTTCGAAGGTAACGGGCACCAGTTGATTTCCTAATAGCACTATTTACTTTACAGACTATTTACAGTAGGAACAAATAAGTCAGGAAAACAGCACTCCGGTTTCTCACTGCGTACCCATGCATCGCGTGTGCTCGTCCGACATCCTAGGTCCGATTTGAATATTACTGTTTAGACAATTCGTAGAAAGATACGCGAGTCGAGAAAAACGCAACGTGAACGATGAACGCTGACTGCTGACTGACGGCGCGGCGGTGAGTCAGTAGTCGGCGGCACTGTGTGTATCTGTCGCACAAAACCGTTGCGATAGGCAATGGTGTGAGTGCGTGTCTATGCGCGTTTGTATGGGTACGCCTGTACGCGTCAGCCTTACTTACTTGCGTACACTTACTCAGAGCAGGGAACGTGCTCTTCATTTGTAATCATTCAAGAATGTAATTCCTCATTCAGTCATTACGGACTTCCTCCGGCGATTATATTTAAACGTTTTCGAATCAACTTTACCGTTTAGTCATTGTTCAATAAATTTTCAAATCAACACACCTTTCACTGATTATTTTAAGAAGCTCTCATGTCTCTGGCTATTATTTTATAATTAAATCAGCAATGAGGAAGGCCTTGCATGGGCACTAAGAAGAAAATACCTAATATAGAACGCTATCTACGTAACTATTGTATTCCATAAAAAGTATGTGCAGAAAAACAGAATCTTTTTTACTGTCTCTGTTGAAATATTATTTATTGACCTAGTCACGAGGGATAGAGAGATTACTGTGCTCGATTTTCATTCAGAGAGTAAAGATAACCGCACGTTAAAACAAAATTCAGCGATATGATTGCAATACAGAGAATTATAATGTAAGAGTCCCAGATGCAATCCTAATGAGCAGAGCAGTAGCTCATCTCCGCGATTAATAGAGCTAATGCCATACTTTAATCAATAGATAAAAATAGAAATTAAAAATTGATATGATTGTAATATATACCATGAATCCTGGAAATTAGTATCGGATATTGGGATTCCGGGTTGGTACTGCGTCGTCGATCCTTGCCACGACTGATAAGCCCGACGTCACGAAGTTGCATTGCACGTGTCCTGCGATCCGATCCTGATGACCAGCCCAGCAGGTCGTCTCGCCAATTGATGGGGTTAATGCTATATGTATTTTAAGGAATGCACGAAGATAGAAATTCAGAAGTTATTGTAGGCTTTCAAGGTTGCTCGTGATGTTTGTAACGGGAACACTGTAGATCAGTGGTGAGCAAACTTTTTTAATGGGGGGCCACAAAATTTAAGAAATTCTAGAGGAGGGCCAGAATTATAGAAAAAATGCACTTTATACTTCTCGACCGTGAAAACGTAATTATAGCGGGCCATATACTATCCATGTCGATGGGCCCTCGGCGGGCCGGATTAAATAATTTCGCGGGCCGGAGTTGGCCCGCGGGCCGTACTTTGCCCACCACTGGTCTACACTGACGACACGACAACGACAGGCTGGGTTTTTTGAGGTGGTGGGGCGGCCGAGCCAGTACCGTAGCCTTCACAACTGCTTTTACACGTTTTTCCCTATACTCTCAGTTGCAAAGGCTACGGT